CCAGCTCAGGCTTTGAAGCTAAGGGGATCAGGTATGTTTGAGATCCTGAGTTGGGATGTCCACACTGTTATTTTTAGTGCACTAGTGTTAGCCCTGCTAGAATGAGTCTGTCTATATAGGTAGGAAGATTTTGTTCCAGCTTCAGTGTAAGTGTACCATGTGCTTCAGATGGAGGAATACCAAGCTCCAGCATTGTCACTGCTCCCTTCCAGCTCCCTTAGAAGTTATTCAAAGTCTGTTTTCCTGGGATAGAAAATCCATTGTTCCAGTAGGGAAGAGTCATTAAATATTGATGTTTCTGTTAGCCTTCTCTGAAGAGTCCCCCCCCTCATAATGAGCAATACCATGTCTAGAATAGACTGGCATTGTCATGACCAGGCACTTTTTAGCACAAACTTGATGTCTTAATCAACATGGTTACAATACATAATGAAGGTCACAATAAAGTTTACAATCAAAAGTGGCACTCCTAAAATAAAAATGGAGTTCACAGTGTGACGCCCTACCTCCTCAAACTGTGACACAGATCTAATCACCCAGCTTGTTTTTGAACAGCAGTGTAATGGAAAATTTAACTGGAAAAAAATTGTGAGAAACATAGTTTTGTCTGAGGAAATCATAATGAAATACTGGAAAACCAAATTCACTTTTATAACTTAATTTAGGTGAGAGAAAGCTACAAAACATCTAAATTGCACTGTTTGAGCTCCATATTTTGAGCTGAATTATTGTTTAGAGTTTCAAGAATAATTTTATCCTTAAAGTATTACATACTTCACAACCTTTCATGCGCTTATCTAGGTAGTGTCTTTAAAAAGAAGACAACTTGTAAATCTGCAAGAAGTTTGGTTTTCCATAGCAGAATTTATTCCAGGCACGTACTTTACTTCATGAAACTGTAAGAATATTTACTAGAATAAATTGTTTAAAAAACAATTCTCAGTTTGCTTTTAGAAAGAAAACAATGTCTTCAGAAGTTGTAGTCAGAAACTAAACAAATTTGTTAGTCTCTAAGGTGCCACAAGTACTCCTTTTCTTTAAACAAAGAATGTGTTCTGCTTTACATAATGTACAGACTTTGTGAAAAAGTTTTCCAGGTAGTCCGGAAAGTAGAATACAACTGTGAATCATTTATGGAAAACACGATGGAATGAATTAGTCAGAAGAGGTATTTGAGTGACCCACCCCAGCTTCTGCGATCAGGAAATACTGTGACTTTCCATGGTTTTATTAAAATCATATGGCATAATAAGAAAAGCTTGCTGGTAAGGTTGCAAGCAGTTACAATCAGACCGCTCTTAACTTTACAAAAATACTCATTTGGAATGAATTTCCATGTTTAATCTCAGCTGAAATGTGAGAGGTTTTTTGTTTGTTTTTTGTTTTTTATTGTTGTGGTGGTTGTTTTTGTTTTTTTGTTTAAGAACAAAAAAGGGCCTTTTTGGGTTATGCGAGTGGCCAAATTTAATGGCTGCTCTCTGAAGGAGTGAAAAAAATTTTCTGAACATTACTCCTGGGGGAGTTCTGTGCCACTGCACACACACAATTCATGTGCCACGCAGAATTCTGCCCCCACCCCAAAAGTACATTCTGCTGGAAAGGTGCTATAGTTACTCCTTTCGCCCACCATGGGCCGCTATGGCGCCAGAACAGAAAGCAGCTGCTCCCAAGCGGGAGCAGCCCTAGCTGCGGATAGGGAAGAGAAAGAAGCTGCCTTCCTTACAGCACCCTGGCTGTGGGTCCAAGTCAGCAGGCATGGGATATGGGGGTGACAGACAGCATGGGGCATATGGGGCTGCTAGGGGAATCACAGACTGGGGTTCAGAAGGGCTAGTGTGGGGGGGCTGGATGGGTGGTTGAGTGGGGGTACAAGGACACATGGGGAAAGGGTGCAGGGACACAGGTGATGGGGCAGGGTCACAGGGGAAGGGGATGCAGGGAATCATGGGAATGGGGGAGGAGGGGTGGCTGAGTTGGGTGCAAGGACACATGGGGATGGGGGGTGCAGGGAAACATGGAAACATGGGGACAGGGGCAGATGTGGCTGACAATGAGGGAGGCTAGGAGTCAGCCCTGGTCTGCATGGTGGAGGCTCCCTAGCAATCCCTCCTCGCCCCCAAAAAACCTGTTCCATTCTTCTCCCACCCACACCCAGCAACCCTCCAAGTTCACACCCCGGCTCCTTCCCAGCAATTACTTCCCTCTCCCTCTGCTCCTCCATTACCCCTGACACCTGCAAGCCTTTGCATTGCTTCTGAGGTATGCGTAAAATACATTTCTTTATTGTAGTTTAAATGAACAACAGATTAAGCAAATAATATGACCTTCTTATTTCACTTTTCAGGTTAGCACCACTTCTAATCTACATATTTAACAGAAGAATAGCAATAGAAAACATTACATGTGCAGTGTTTAATGTTGCTGTGGCAGCCTTAGCTTTTCGTATCTTTGCTTTTAACTGTGCTACCCTCTACAACATGCTAATCTTTTTGCACTTAATTATGCATATGTATGGTACGATGAAAGGAAAAAATCTTCCAGCTTCTTATAGTAGAACGCTTTCATAACCAATTAAACCAAAATATTCCTTATTTTGGAGTGTTCTGCAGTTCAGGTTTCATAGATTTTTACATCCAGAGACTTTGCCTTCAGACTTCAGAAGATCCATTCAAGGAGGACAGATTTATTTACTTGCTGAGTGCTTACAGCTCAGCTCTTACAGAGTATGCCAGTTGACCTCAAGATAACTGGAAAAAAAGTATTTAAGGTATTGAAGTAGATACCTTTACTCTGTTCTTTAAAAATCAACCAAATATGGCTTTTACTTTTTTTTTTTTTAAAAAAACAGACATTAGGACAAACTCATCCCTAAGATAATTTCTTGATTCATATCAGGATGGATTTGGCTGATCACTTGTGTACGCAGGCCAATACTGTAGACACTTACGTATGTTTCAAATGTCAGCTATATGATATGATACTTGGACAATTATGTTTCAGTCCTGATAGCAATGCTAGAATACATTCTTACTGACCTTTCATCCTTTGAGTTCTAAGCACACCTCATCCTTGGTTCATAAGTGTTTTGTTTCTGATTTTATATTTGTCAAGCCTGACCTTAAAAACCTCTAAGGAAGGAGATTCTACCACCTCCCTAGGTAACGCATTCCAGTGTTTCACCACCCTCTTAGTGAAAAAGTTTTTCCTAATATCCAATCTAAACCTCCCCCACTGCAACTTGAGACCATTACTCCTCGTTCTGTCATCTGCTACCATTGAGAACAGTCTAGAGCCATCCTCTTTGGAACCCCCTTTCAGGTAGTTGAAAGCAGTTATCATGTTTCGGAAAGCAGTTTCATCATGAAAGTTGAATTTACAAATGTAGAATTATGTACAAAAATAACTGTATTCAAAACTAAAACACATGTAAAACTGTAATGTAAACTTTAGAGCCTACAAGTGCAATCAGTCCTATTTCTTGTTCAGCCAATCACTCAGACAGACAAGATTGTTTACATTTTCAGGAGATACTGCTGCTTGCTTCTTGTTTACAATGTCACCTGAAAGTGAGAACAGGTATTCGCCGGTGTTGTAAGATATTTACATGCCAGATGTGCTAAAGATTCATATGTCCCTTCATGCTTCAACCACCATTCCAGAGGACATGCGTCCATGCTGATGATGGGTTCTGCTCGATAACTATCTAAACCAGAGCAGACCGACGCATGTTCCTTTTTACATCATCTGAGTCAGATGCCACCAGCAGAAGGTTGTTTTTCTTTTTTGGTGGTTCAGGTTCTGTAGTTTCCACATTGGAGTGTTGCTCTTTTAAGATTCCTGAAAGCATGCTCCCTACCTCGTCCCGATCAGATTTCGGAAGGCACTTCAGATTCTTAAATCTTGGGTTGAGTGCTGTAGCTATCTTTAGAAATCTCACATTGGTACCTTATTTGCGTTTTGTCATCTCTGCAGTGTAAGTGTTCTTAAAATGAACAACATGCTAGGTCATCAACCGAGACTGCTGTAACATGAAATATATGGTAGAATACAGACAAAACACAGAGCAGGATAAATACAGTTCTTCCCCAAGGAGTTCATTCACAAATTTAATTAATGCATTATCTTTAACGAGCCTAATCAGAATGGAAGCATATCCTCTGGAATAGTGGCCAAAGCATGAAGGGGCATACGTATGCCCAGGTTATCTGGCACGTAAATACGTTGCAATGCCAGCTACAAAAGTGCCATGCAAATATCTATTCTCACTTTCAGGGGACGTAAATAAGAAGCGGGCAGTATTATTTTCTGTAAATGTAAACAAACTTGTTTCTCTCAGTGATTGGCTGAACAAGAAGTAAAACTGAGTGGACTTGCAAGCTCTAAAGTTTTACATTGGCTTGTTTTTGAGTGCAGTTATGTAACAAAAACTCCATTTGTAAGTTGTGCTTTCCTGATAGAGATTGCACTACGGTACTTGTATGAGGTGAATTGAAAAATACTATTTGTTTATCATTTTTACAGTGCAAATATTTGTAATAAAAATAATGTAAAGCGAGCACTGTACACTTTGTATTTTGGTTTATAATTGATATCAATATATTTGAAAATGTAGAAGAACAACCAAAATATTTAATAAATTTCAATCAGTATTCCATTTAACAGTGCAATTAAAACTGCGATTAATCATGATTAATTTTTTCAATCGTGCTTAATTTTTTTGAGTTAATAACATGAAGTAATTGTGGTTAATCAACAACCCTAGTTTAAACCAATATTTACCAAAGAGAGGCTTTTGAAATTAAAATCTGGATTTAATGGTAAACGTTTATTGAAATGAAAATGAATTTGTTCTGTGAAATTTAAGAGAGTATGTGTTATGTGAGGTTATGTGGTATGTGAGGGTATGAAATAAAGTTGACTACTGAGAGAGAGTGATTCAGGAAAAAAGCTTTTTAATTTAAATATCTACCAAAAATATCACACTTTTTTTTTTTGGCAAATAATAAATATAAAGGAGATTTCTCAAGAATGGGGTTATGATCAATTTTATAACTGCCCCATTAGTCTCTTTTGTTAAAATTGTGGAGATCTTATGATTTGATGTCAGACTCTGTCTTCAGATCACCCTGAATGAAAAGGAGAAACGTAGTTTCAGCTGGCAAGATATATAATATTACAGGAGGAAAAAAAACAGTAACCTGATCATCTCTCATATCTGTTCCCTTTAACTCCCATCCATTCAAACCACAGTCACCCATTGGTACTCTGTTTCCACTCAGTGTGCTGTTTAATATGGTGGTTACTTGTGAAGATCCCGCCATTGGAAGAGGAGTGGAGGAGGAGAAAGAAGCAATAATGTTGCAATTCACTAATTCTGTGACTTTCATATTTACCAAGTAGTGTTAACTTACTGGTTGATACTTGGGGAAACAGCTGTTTATTTTAAATAGTGAGATGCATATCACAGGGATGGTTGCTTCTTATTCAGTTAATTTGCATATTACATTTCAGCTAATGGAAATGCATCTTCATGGACTATACGGTCAAATTGCTGGGCATATATTCTAATTTTTTTCATGATCACTAGTTCACTTAAAAAAAAAAAAGTGTTTCTGTGGTATGTGACTGATATAGTCTACCTCAAGATGATAAACAGCAAAGCCTCTGATTTGAAATTTAGTGATTCATTCAGACCCTGACTTAGGAAAGCATAATTGCTGATTCCATTTTTCAATTTAAACTAATTGCCATCGGTAAGAATTTTTTCAAGAAATGTACCTTGGAAAGAAAGAAAATATTACCGGATTTGTACCTAATTTTTTTTTTTTTTAATCCTTTGGCATCCTTGTAACAGCAACATATGCCATGTCCCTGTGGATCAATTATTGTTGTTCCATATTATTCTTTTCAATTGCTTGCATCGTGTTCACAAAGGAGAAGTATGTCAACGCACTGGCTTGAGTAGGCATGATCATATCATGGCTTTTTTGATATTGGCTAACTGAGGGGTTTTGTTCTTTTTTTTTCTTTTGACGGATATGGTTATTTTTAGAGCCCTTAGCACAGTGGGGCCTGACTGTTTTTAGATCTTTGCCCATCCATCCTGCTGGACATTTTGCACTCACATAAAACACTTTTTAGAGATCCTACTGTTATGCTTTAGACCAGCAAGTGATCAAGCCTTTGCTATGGTTGAATATTAGTGGCAGAACTCAATTCTCCCCCCTTCTAAAAGACACAAAAACAAGCAACCTTGTAGCAAATAACTTCCCATTATCAAGTGCCTGAATCTTCACTATTGTATTAGCATCGTTTTAGTGTGTTTCTGGTAAATGATCTACTTCCTGGGATTCCTCCACATACAAGCAACCTCTGCTCCGCCAACTGGGTGCCTTCTTAATCTTTGGTTCCAAGGATCTTTTATGCATAGTTTTTATAATCCCCTTTTCTGAGTGGCAAGACTCAAAGCTGGCACCACTTTTGTGGCTCTTCCTTGGCCAAGGCCTTGTGTCAAGGACCTAGTCCATTTGTCCCTAGAAAGAAGACTTCTTTGTATCTGGTTTTGCATTTTTCTGGCACTAGTCCTTGATTTGTCTGTCAAGATCCTAACCCTAACAGTCTGGCATGTAAGAGTTGTTTCTCTTTCTCCTTTGTTTGGAGTTGACGTGGGGTGGCTGGGGGAGAGAATCTGACAATCACTGCACTCTTTAAATCCAAAATTTTTATGCTTTCTTTTCCTATAGTAGCTGCCATTGACTAAATTTTTTAAAAAACTTTTTAGCCTACAAAATGTATCAGTAGTATTAAAAAAAAATCCCAATGGAATTGACAAAGCTGTTGCAATCAGGTCCTTAGCGGCCTTTGCTTTTGGGGAGGTGTTTGATCATGGGGGTACAATTCAAAAATACACTAGGAGACAACATCTTTTTTTCCATAGCATTTTTATAGTCCTTTTTAGGTTTAAGCCCAAATGGAGGGTGAATCTAGTATACAAGCTCTTAATAATTCTCCCTTCAAACCTATGCAGGGTATTCCTTTGAAGTTCTTAACCCTTAACTCCTTTTTTTTTCTAATGGCAATTGTCTCGACTTGCCTTGACTAGGATTTAGCAGCCCTGGCTTAGACTTTCTTCTATACTTCCTCAGAAGAACAAAGTTGTCATCGGTACTCTTTAGTTTGTTCAGTCCCCACATTTCCATCAGATCCAGAATATCTGTCTTCCCTCTAATAGTTCTCTCCTGAGATTAATTGGTGCCTCCATAACTCAGATATCAGAGTTTGGAATTTTTACACAGATAGAAGGGAATTTTGGTGCTGATGAGTTTGTTCACATATCAGAGTGGATCAGTGATGCTTGAGTGTTTAGAATCAGCCTTATGTAGTGGTGATCAAGACCTACTTTACCGAAAGCACTGCCACTTCCTAAGCTGGGAAGTAAGGCTTCCTAAGGACAGATCTGCTAAGGCACAATGTGTAGTTTTCTAAATACACGTACTAGGAGATATGGAGTTAGTCACTAGAGCTGGTAGAGTTGTACAAAGCATTTGTATAGCTTCTGTTCCCAGAATAATCTTGCTTTAATGTATGTACAGTGATACTTAGACACGATCTGTAGTTACACTGACCTTGTTCACTTGGAATATAGACTTTTTAAAAACCACTTAATTCTACAGTGGATCTAATTAGTTTTGATACCCCACTGCAGTGGTTTCTCTGTTCTAATGCTCACTTACATTTCAGCACAGAAAAATATAAAAGTTGTGTGTCTGTTGAGGAAGTCACTGCTAATACATAAGTTCTGGATATCTTTTCCATTAGAAAATGCAGTTCTATTTGACAATATGAACAAGAATGTAATGTTGAATGCTTGGAAATGTAGGTAATTATGGATTTTCCAGTAAATATAGCATATGAAGAATATTTATTAAAATACCGTTACACACCTACATTAAAATATTTGCTCCATGTAGCTCCATGTGTGTATTTTAAGGAAATACTTTCCATAAAAGGGGAAATACATCATTGAAGAAACTTTTTAATTTATAAAGGTATATGCCACATTAAAAAAAACAGAGTTTAGTAAATGTGTCTAGCTGGTTACGCAAACATTTTCTTCAGTGGAATTTCCAAATTACCACTCTAATATTACCAGTCAGTGAACAGGAATTTAATGTTTAATGCTTGGAAATATAAGTAAGTCATGGATTTTTCCAAGGAAGGAATTAAGCACTGTAGGTATTATTTTCTGTCAGTTGAATGTGTTACAGTTTTCCAACTAATGGTCAGCCAATCTGTAAATAGCCTTTCTATGAAAAAGCACAGCTTTTTATACTCTGTTTGGACACACGAAAACTACATGATCAAGTATAAAAATATATTGTTATGTTTTATTGTAATAATATTTCCTTTAATGAGAACCTATTCAGTATAACAAGTTTAAAAAAAATCTGCAGCACTGTTTCCAGGAAGGAAAGAACTTATTTCAGTACATTCAAAAAAGGAAATTAAAGCATTGTCAGAGTGCTTGTTATGATTCTTTTACCCCTCACTGGATTGACTACAAGATAAATAGTTATACAGTAGTTCTGTGCAGAACAAGGACCAAATTCTGCCCTTGGATACATGAGTCCCATTGATATCTATAGCTAAGGCACACTTTGATCTGCAGTCAAAATTTGGACTCCTTGTATCATACACTCCCCAATACACTATTAAAGTAAACGTGATTTATTAAAAACTGTACTTTTGGAGGATTGTTCTTGATGTTTTTTAAAATGTTAGCAGTAGAGGTAGGCAGCATTTTATGGGAATTTTTTTGTCAATCTTGTGACAAACTTTTGAATCTGGGTTTAAAAAAAAGCATTTAGCAATTGGTTAAGCATTTACTAGAGCTAAGTGGTTTTGCAGTTCATGTGCTTTTAATAGAATCCTTTAATCTTTCAGTAAAGGGAGAAAAGAGAGAGATGGGACTTCAGGAGTTATTGATGACACCATAGACAAAACTGCTTCACAATCTACATGGTCTCACATGCATTAAGGAGTGGTAATGAAATAGTATTGCATACCCCTGCAAAAGAGATTATTTGGGGCATAATGAGCAACTGCCCCAAACCACCCTCTACATCCTTTCAGAGAAAAAAAAACAAAACCCCTCCAAAGCAATCCTGTCCAAACCAGCCAGAGATCACCTTAACACAACCCACAAAGAATGATAACAAATCTTAAGGAATCATGGACACCTGGCCATATTCCATCACTTGGAGATCCAGACAATGACACTTGCAAAATGTTGTTGGACTTCAGGCAATACCAAAGATTTCTCAAAGGGAAACATTTAGAGTGCCATTGTCAAGAGATGGAGTCTTGGGTGAGGGCCTCAAGAGTACTGTTTTGAGTTAAGTCAGCACCTTGCCCTTATGTTTAAAAAATAAATAACATCTTGCCTTTCTCCTTCAGCTGTGCAAGTACTCTATGCTTTTTTTCTCTACCCTTGAGAGGCATGCATTTAGAACAAGGTTTCTCCAACAATGGCTTCAGAGCATTCTTCCTTTATACAAGTCTGATAACAGCTTGGTCTTCCAAAGGAGACTGAAGAACCTCCAAAAAGGTCCTTCACCCAGTGAAAGCAAAGGTGAACGCTGAACGGAAACCATAAAAGGCAATGCATCTTGTCAATATTGAGTCAAACCCAAGATTCAAAATATATACAAACTGTGTTAATAGAGAAAAAATTCATTATTTTGGTTAATGTGTATCAGAGTGTCTGCAATATAATCAGTGCTTTTATGGTAACTCTTTATTAGATTTTGAGTTGCAAGTCTAGGTAAACACAGTGACATTGCTGATTCATTCTTTCTATTCATTCTACCTCATATTGAACTTACATGCTATCTCTTCCCTTTATCTTCTAGAATGAAAAATAATTTTTAAGATAAGAAATTTCTTGGCTTTTTCGCATATGATTTTTCCAGAAGGCATTAACTGATGTTGGAATATTTGGGAGACAAGGTGGGTGAGGTAAAACAGAGCTTATCTTCAGGTCTTTGTATAAGCCCAACAGCTTGTCTCACCAACAGAAGTTGTCCAATAAAAGATATTGCCATCCACTTAGTCTCTCTAATATCCT